TCTGGGTGATGGGAGGGCAGTACTAAGAAAACAGACACACGCCCTGGCCCATGGGCTGTGGAGAGGAGCTGATGGACCCAGTGAAAACTAACTCGAATAGTTCAGGAGAAGCTAATGAGCACCATGACAAACAGAAGTGCTGGTTGGGGGTGGGGAGAGCGGGGTGGTGGGAGGTGGGGGGAACATTGTAATTTTAAATGGGAAGTCAGAGACCTGACTGCCTTTACAAGACTCTTGTTATGGGGGCACTCCTGCGTTTGGCAGTGGGGACACAGGACGAGTGGCGCCCTGAAAGCCACAGTGAGTGAGAAGTGTCCAGGTTGTACAAGGAAGTGTCTTTGGGTTGGGGCCTGTGTGGGTTGGGGCGGTGGGGCCCGGTGGCCCAGTGAACAGCAGGGAGGAAGAGGAGACAGCAGGTGTGGGGGGAAAGGGTGGAGAGAAGCAGAGCAGCTGTGACAGGAAGCTCACGGTGTCTGATGGCCGGGGAGCGCCACAACACAAGTAGGGCATGAGCCTTGGGTGGGGCGAAAGCTTCCTTTCTTACCAAGGAGGAAGAGAGGGGAGGAAGGTCTGAGCGAGTTCCCAACTTCTTTAGCTTCTACTTTCTCTGTGAAACAGGAAGTGAGGTCAAGTGCTCTGGAGAAGGTGAAGGGGAAGCGCAAGGCTTGTAGAGAGGGATCGAGGCTCAGAGGAGCTGGTGCAGGAATGGGGAGAGCTGGCGAGATCGCGGAGTCACAGGACCTTACACTGAGGTCCAAGACCCTAAGTGTGTTTAGGGAGTGGGTGAATCGCTCCAGAGTTAGGCTCTGGCTGGGGAAGCACAACCTAAATCCAGAAAGACACGGATGTGGGAGCCTTGGGAGCCAGCGAGAGTCTCAGCTAAGCCGAGAAGGAAGCAAACAGAAAGAGCAAGGGGCTGGCAGGTCAAAGTACAGATGAGAAAGAGAGAACTGCAGTCAGCAGTGCAAATGGTTCTAAGTGGAGAAATAAAATGCTCAGATTTATGTTTTAAAAGGATCCCCCAGCTCCTGGGTGGAGAACAGGGTTCCAGGGCACAGAGGCAGGAGCAGGAAACCACTTGAAAGGGCACTGCACATGGTAGCTGGGACCGGGGTGATAACGGGATGGTGCACAATGGGGGGATTCTGGGACCAATAGGAGTTGGCAATGATGGGATGTAGGGTGCAACAGAGAGCTCAGAATGTGCCAAGCGTGGTGTGGGGAGCTTACCATTTAAGGTTAAGATGAACAGGAAACTAATAGTTACCTGCCACTTAGAAGTGGGGGGGGGGGTACACCCAACTCTGCTGGCTTGGGAGGGAGTGGTGTGAGGAAGGCTTCCAGGAGGAGGTGCCACTGGAGCTGGCACTACCAGATGGAAGAAAGAGGAAGGGCATCTAGGATGATCATGTGTAAAAGCCCAAAGGCCAGCCTGAGGAGCCCGCTGCGGCCAGAGGGCAGGGAGGAGTCAGTTGGCCACTTACCTAATGCACTTAAAGACAAAAGTAAGACTGCAGAGAGAAGCAGGAACTACAATAGAGAGGAGAGCCAGAGGGTGGTGCTGGGCTTCTGGGTGGAGAGGTGGGAAAGTGAGGGAGGGCGTCCCATGAGAGCCTCTAGTTCCAATGACAGCTGCCAAGATGAGTTAGCACAGCTGGGCTTCATGCTTGCAAGAAAGGCTGTGGGCAAAGTAGGGGAGGGGGCCAGTTTGGAGCAGAAAAGGGGGCTGCGAGGCACTCAGCGAGAGTGGCCTCGTCTCAGAGTCCCCAGCAGCCCATCGAGGCTTTCCTGTGTCTGAGCTACAGGTCCTGGCAAAGGTGTGTGCCGGGCAGCTGGAGAGGGATGGGAAGGCAAGGCAGGCGAGGCAGCTGGTCGACCTGAGCAGCCATAACTCAGAGTGGCTGGGGGAGGAGAAAGCCGGGGGTGGCTGAGAAGCAGCTTGCCCACTGATATCCCCACAGCAGGGCAGCATTGCAGGGACAGTGCCCATGAGCCAGATGCCATCCTCAGGGGTCTCAGGGCAGTTTCCCATCTCATCCATAACATACAAAGGGGAGGGAAGAGGCTGGGGGGGGGGTGACAGGGAGAGTGAGGCAGAGTGCAGTGAGACACAGGGAGACTACAGCACTCTGGGCAGAGGTAGGTGTGAGACTCAGAACTGCCATCTATGAAGAGAACAGGAAATGTCTCTTGGGAGCTACTGCTTGTGGAAGCTGGAGCCCAAGACCCAGATGCCTGTATTTTCCAGGCCAGCTGTCTGCACACAGTGGGCAGAGCAAATAAAGTTGTGGCAGATGCCGCAGACGGTGTCTTGCCATCTCCCCTAGACCTTCAGTGTACTAGTGGGCTAACTTCCACCAGAGCACCTGCCTTTGTCTCTCTGCCGGGGGGCTTTTTCTGCCCACCCAAATCCTCCTTGTCCCCCCAGTGACTTATGAGAGTGAGTGTAGAGATACTCCACCTCCCTTTCCCCATTGTGGGGATAACTCTGAGGGTCCTCTTCTCCACTGTCTCCCAGAGCCCCCAGAAACTCCAGAACACACCTTTTATTGGCTTTCTTCTCTTTCCTAGCACTTCTTTCTACTCCACTACTGGTGTTTCACTTACCTCTCAAATTAACCACCTGCATTTGAATGCTTGTCTGGGGGTCTGCTTCTGAGGGAGCGCAAAGTAAGACAGACATCAGCAGGACACAGTAGGAAAATCGAGAGGCTGAAAGGCTGTTTGAATCCCAGCTCCTTTTGTGTAAGGAATACCCCGCTGGCAGCGGGCTTCTGCTCAGGTTGGTTGAAAATAAAGCAGAATATTAATGTTTACAACAAGGCCCAGGCCATACAACGTGCCGCGTCGCCCACCAATCTGAATCAAAACCACACTGATAACAATGCCCTTTGGCCAGCTTCAGGCTCGTTGCTGAAAGCATAGTCCACCGATTTGTCATCAGGGCTAAATATAAAAAATTGTGGCCTGAGTCAGAAGTTATTTTCAGCACTGTCTTACTTTGCAGCCATTGAGGGATGCTGTTCGGAGGGCTGCTTTCCTGGAGGCTGAGGTCAACCCTGGTGGACCCCACATTCCAGGGACAACTACCCAGCTCTCCCAGGGGATATCATCGCCTCAACACACCCTGACTGATGTCGCAGCCTCCCCTAAACCTATCGGGTCTAGACCTTTGTTCCTGGCCACTCTCCAGAGCAGGGAAGAGGGTCCCTTCCAGGTCTGAGGTCTCCTCTCTCAAAAGCCACCGAAACAGGGAGAGATGGAGTGAATAACAGAAGTATTTATTAGGAACTTGTGAAGTGCTAGAACCTGAAATTTATGAATCTTCACAAAATCCCTGCCAGAGGAACATTATTGTCTGTATTTCACAGAAAAGGAAAGTGAGACTTTGAGACTTGCTAGCCAGGTGACTTGCTCAGGGCTCCGTGACCAAGGTTTGAAGGGCCTGTGCCACACAATACTGCTTGACTTCCCCTTCCTCACGCTGTCTCTTAGCACCAGGAATTCTTTATACAGTGGGAAGTAGGTGATATGCAAGCATCCCAGGTTCAAGAGGGGGCATGGTGCCTCTGTCCCCCCAGTAGGGAACCCTGCTCAGTAGGGGAATAGAGAGCAGGTCCCATGATTTGTCAAGGACCCCTACCCCTCAGCCTCTTGGTCACCTAAAGTTCCTGCCCAGAATGGGACTCTCCTGCCACCTACCCTCTGCCCCTGCTGCTACTGAGGATGAGTGAGGCCGAAAGTGGCCTTCATTTCCTGGGTCAAGCCTTTTCATTTGGTCTGGTGCTTTTCGGAGACATGACTCCTTCAGGTCCATGATGGAGAAGGTCTTCCTGGCACAGCTCAGACCCCAGTGCCCCCCCTCCCCCCCCGTTTGGCCTGGCACTGCTCCCTGAAAGCCGTCCCAGAAGCCTTCCCTGACCACTCCCACTGGGACAGCCCACTCTCCTGCATTCTGACAGCCATGGGCCTTGTTTGTTGAGGTTTAATTCTAGGCTGTCTCTCACCTGCTTAAAAATATCTATGGCTCCTAACTGCCCATAAAATAAAAGCCGAACTTACCAGAATTTAAGATCCTCTGTCCCAGTGAAGTTTTCTGAGTGTGATCTATGTGACACTCTCAGGCCCCAGACTTGTTATCCTCTTGCCCATCTATCCTTTCCACGCCTATACCCTCTGCCCTTTCTATCCTGGTTGGCTCCTGCTCATTTTCTGAGACCCCTGAAAGGCCCCCACCACACATGCTAAGCACCAGTTACCCCCAGCCCCTCCCTGTGATGTTTGATCCACATTACTAACAAGGGAGCAGGGCCATGTTTGATGGGAACCCAGTGCAGTGCCTGGCATGGGGCAAGCCTTGCTCAACACTGATCAGGGTTCTTACCCTTTTTGTGCTAGGGACTTTTCAGAGTGCTTTCAAATGCACTAAATAAAATACAAAGGACCGCAAGTGAAACCGATTTTATTGAACTCCTTGTGAACATTTTTTTAAGTGAAATGTGTGATGTAGTAATAAATGTGCTTCTACATTAAGGCATGAAATAAGATCTAGAGGTGCATTCCAGTGACCATCCTCTCCAAAGAGTGAGGAGCATGGACAATATCTCCAAACCTCTGCAACAAATGAATGTGATAGAGAAATATCTACAGGACCTGCCAATATTAGGTTGAGCCTTAGGAAACTGCCAATGTTGCTCTAGGTTTGAGCTACAAAAACTAATTTCATATGGTTTTGCCTAATTCTACTCTGGTTTGTTGCCTGCCCTCATCATTACGGGAGATGTTCAATTTTAGATAGTTGTGAGTAAAACCGAAGATGACTCTTTCCCCATCCAAGTTCACGGACCCCCTGGACCCCCTTGGGGAGAGAGAGCCCGAGAGCTCCTAGTTGATGACTCAGCAAGGGCCCCTGCAGGTTGGGAGGGTCGCCCCTTAGCGTCCAGGGGCCTCCGCCCTCCCGGAGCATCTATCTAACCCACGTGGGTCTCTGCTCCCCACAGGTTCCCTGTTCCCGCAGCTGAAGCCCTCGGAGGGCGTCTTCAAGGTAATCTTCTGGCTCGGCTACTTCAACAGCTGCGTAAACCCGCTCATCTACCCCTGCTCCAGCCGCGAGTTCAAGCGCGCCTTCCTCCGCCTGCTGCGCTGCCAGTGCCGGCGGCGCCGGCGCCGGCGCCCCCTCTGGCGTGTCTACGGCCACCACTGGCGGGCGTCGACCGGCGGGCCGCGCCCCGACTGCGCCCCCGGCCCGGGGGCCGCGCTCCCCGGGGTCCCTCTGGCCCTCACCGAGCTCCCGGCCCCAGGCTCCCCGGGCACGCCCGAGGTGCAGGCAACCGTCGCCGGCCGCGGAAAGTCGCCCTGCGCTTTCCGCGAGTGGAGGCTGCCCGGGCCGTTCCGGAGACCCACCACCCAGCTGCGCGCCAAGGTCTCCAGCCTGTCGCACAAGATCCGCGCTGGGAGCGCACATCGCACAGAGGCCGCGTGCGCCCTGCGCTCGGAGGTGGAGGCTGTGTCCCTGGGTGTCCCCCACGATGTTGTGGAGGGCGCCACCTGTCAGGCCGACGACCTCGCGGACTGCAGCAACCTCCGGGAGACTGATATTTAAGGACCTTCCGAGATAGACGTGGTGGGGGGCGGTGCGGCTTTGTGCTAGGGGAGGTGAATGCGGTGGGGTGAGAGCGAGGACATGGGGAAGAGGCTGGTTTTGTCCAAGAGGCCCGGGCTGATCAGGGCAGGTGCTGCCTAGCACCCCGGAGGAACTTAGGCGGGGCGGTGCCCTGGAAGCGTGGAAGGTTATAGGCCCCCACCTGGATACAGATGCCTTGAGCTCCTCCTTTCTCGGGAGGAGTTGCGGACTCCTTGGGGCCGTTTGCCCCCAATCCCTGTTTGAGAAACACTGCCCTAGCCATGCCTTGAACCCTGGGTAATCAGCCCCAAGTATGGCCAAGCAGGCCTGCCCCTCCTTTTGGGGAGAAAGGGACACAAAGGCCCTGCGTGGCTGCCCCACTGCCTCCCTAGGAAGAAGTTATCAGGGCCAGGGCTTCTTAATGAACACAATTTCTCCTTACTGCCGACTGGAGGAAACGTAAGGACCTGTCACCACCACCCACAAGCTTGGTGGCAGATTGGATGACCGTTTTACAAGCCTGTTGTGTTTACCCGTGGGCCCCCTCTCCCCCACCGGTCCCCCTCCCTGCACACCGCATCACCTGGCCCCGCCCCTCATTCCATGCCCTGAGGGCCTTACTGTTTACACTCTGTACATAGCTCCTTGTGCCTGTGCCCATTACCTCTCGCTGGGATCCGGAGCTGCCAAATGGGGAGAGCTTTATTTGTCATTTTGAGACATATTTATTGGTGAGAGTACTTCTATTTTGTCCAAATTCTGCAAACTGTCCCTCTCTAGCTTATAACCTATAAAGGACTACTTTTTTTTTTTTTTTAAATCCTTCAAGTCCTAAAGGCCCACAACAGGATAGATTGGGTATTCATTCACCTTTCCGGTTTCAATTTAACTGTCTCTTTAACTGACGGCTGCTGTCCTTTGGGACTTGTAGCATGACCGAAGGACTCTGGAGGGGGAGATTGTTGGCTTTTAAATTCACATGATTAGTCTTGGGAACCATACAGTAATCATAAACACAAATGTTCGCCTTGTCAGTCTCCCTAGATATACCTGTGACGTTCCGAGTGCCTCAGTGGGGACGGCAGCATCAGTTAAATGGGTGAAACATTACAAGAACGAATATATAACCCCAAGTAGACAAGTGTACATAATGAGTGAGAGAAGCCCTACATAGGAACCATACCCCAAATGGGCCCCACACTGCAGCACATTAGCTACCCTAAAGCTGGGGACACTGGGGGGACAGCCCCTGAGGTCTCACAGTGCTGAGGGCTGCGATGGAGCAGAGCATCAGAGGATTGAACATTGGGCTCCTGGGCAGGGGTCAATGGCAGCGGAGGGTCCCTGAGCAGGGTGAACATTGGTTCTCACATGCTAGGGCACTTAAGCCCACAGGAGGTCAACAGTGGGGGCAAGGGAGCAAGGGGGGAGGGAGTCTTCATCAGGAGGACTTTTAGGTGAGGGAAGGGTCCTCCATGCCCCTGTAACAGTGGACAAGGAGGTATGTGGTGCAGGCAGCTTGGCCAGTATTTTCTGTGGGCAGGATGACCAATCAGCAAAACATGTCCGATGTTCAAGCCTCAGCCCCTGTCTCCTGGGCACAGCAGCCCTCTGCACAACTGCCTCCTCCTGTACCCGCCACACCAGGTACCGAGCCTTCAGGAGATGGGGGACTGCTTGCAGAGGCCCCAGAGAGGCCGTGCCACAGCAGGGGCATCCAGGGACCCAGTTCTAATCATCATCAAAGCACTGAGCTGCTGACCTCGGTCTCAGGACATGCCAAAACGTTGCAGTAGCCAAGAGGAATGGAGGGAGTAGCAACAGCCCTTCTGAAGAAGGGAGTTCTCTGCCAGTAATTTGGGGGCATTTGGAAGAAGTGCATTCACTGCACCATTTCCTGGGTCCTCAGGTGCCCCAGATCCCCAGCCTTGCCCACGCACTCATTAGAAACTGTCACTGAAGTGCATATAAAAAATGGGGCCATTGTCTCCAGGAAACCCCTATGAAATATCAAGGCGATTGAGGGAATAGGGAAAACCCAGTACCCATCAAAATGGGAATAAGAGTTCCTTTGCATAGTCCTCAAGAAATGAGGGAGTTGTTAGTGAGAAGGGCATGGTCCTGTGAGATGTGACGGGAAAAAGCAGGTCTCCAAAGACACTGGTATTTGCCCAGTTGCCCCCCACCACCACCACCACCATTGAGAAAGCCTTGTTCCTGCTTCCCACCCGAAACCTCTAGCTCCAGCCCATCCTCCCTCTCAAGCTGGGCTCTTGCCACCCATCTTGTCTTGCTTCCCACACTGTTCGGGGCCTCTGTCCCCAGCATTCCACAGGACCACGTTTGCAAGTCACCTGGGACCTTTCATTTCCCTAATCTCCTCCCATCATCTGTCTCTGCTGCAGTCCACACTAGTGGCCACTCCTGCTTCCTGAAATGTTCCCCGGCTGCTGAGCCACACCCCTGGGATCTCCTCTGGTCCCCTGACCACACTCTCTCCAACTCCTGCGCAGGCGCCTCTCTCTGTCCTTAAATGTCCCCCAGGGCTTTCTTCTTCCTTTTCTCAACTCTCCACATAATCTCATCCACTGCAAATCACCTTCATCATATACATAAATGTTTCCCAAGGGTCTGTCTCTAGCCCCAGATGTTTGTATTCATTCTTACCCGGATGACCCCCCCGACTCCCCAAATGCAAACTCACCTTCTGCAAGGCCATCTCATCTGCTCCATGCGGTGTGACAAGGCCACTGGTGCTGAGGCTTCGGGCTCCCCAAATCCCTAAGCCTGCCTGTCCTCTCCACTCTTCATCATCATCTCAAGACCTCCCTCCCAGATCCCCTGCCCAGAACTAATTCCTCAGTGTCCCTCAGTCTTCCTGGTAGCTTGCACCAAGATCACCCTGGCTTAGAGTCCACTGATAGAATCCACATCTGTGTGCCTCAGGCAGAAGGCTTTCTGTCCCCAGGGCTGCTCAGGACTGGGTGTGAGTGTTCATTAAATATTGGATCTATGGGTCCCCTGGGACACTGCACCATTGTCCACCTGGTAGCTGGCTCAACATCACCAATTTTTTGAGACCCTCATCTTATCTGGTCTCATCAATCCTCAAGGAACTAGGGCCTGAGTCCTTCCCCAGAGAGCCTGCTGCAACCCTAGACCTCTGCTGGAACACCTGCTCTACGTGCCCTCCAGCCCACCCGGCCCTCCCACCCGGAGCTCCACTCCCCACAGGCCCTGCTCACCACCACTGCTCCAGGTACTGACAGGCACTGAGGAAAGGTTGGGACCTTGATGGCCCTCCCCTCAGTGACCTGTCAGAGTTCTGACTCTTCAGTGCCCTCCTGACCCTGTTTCTATTCTCATCCTATTACACCCCCAGGGGGTTACATGTTCACCATCCACTTGGAAAGAATTTCTTTTTTTTTCTTCCTGTGGCTTCAGTGGAGCACAAAACCAGATGCTTGTAAAGACTAAACCGGTCCCTCAGGCTCTCTGCTCAGAATAGCTCTCTGGGGAGCCTGCTGGGCCCAGGTGGTACCGGGAGTGGGACCTTTGGCAAGGGGGCACTGCACTCACTCTCCTGCTGGGCTGGGCTGGCATTTGTTCTCTTTCCCAGTCCCCCTCCCCCTTGGCAGCAGCAGGAAACAAAGGGAATAGGACCCAGCCCACATTCTCAAATTGCTCTGGTCTGGGTGAGAATGAAGTAGAAATTGCAGGCAGAATTTGGAATCAAGACGAAATCCAGAAACTGGGGCCCTGACCAGCTGAGCTCTCACGGCCAAGAGCCAGGATGAGGGATGCATCAGAGGCAACTCCAGGGACCTCGCACTGACATTTGTGAAAGTCCTGTTACTGGCAGAGTTACACGTTAGACTTCGGTCCTTGAGGTCAGCTAAGAAAGAATTCAGAGCCAATAACTCAAATACAAGCAAACGTTTATTTAGAACGTCACAGAGATAGAAGAAATGAGCCAGCTGGGCTGCATGGACTTAGGAAACAAGTTACAAAAGGCAAAAGAAGGGCCCTTGGAGCTTGGGAGAAGGAGTGCAATGATAACATGCCTGAGAGAAGAGGGGAAAGGTGCGGTCCTGCTCAAGAGAGGGGGTGGAGCACATAAGGGGAGGATCTCAATAGAATATTTATCAGCTTTCTAGGTGTATCCGTTCAGTGTCTTGGTCTCTACTGATTGGTCAGCACTCATGTAGGGTCACGAGTTGACCTCAGTCTAACTAATTGCGTCTGGTCCTGGTGTCCACCATGATGTTGCTTCATCTGGTTTTGCTGCTTTTCTGGGCCTGGAGCTGAAAAAGAACTGAGGCCTCAATGTCATCTAGTTTGACCAAAACTCTCTCTGTGGTCAACGGACCGAGGCTTTGTTCCAAAGATTACTTGATGCTGATCAGAACATCGTTGTCCTGAGGGCTTAATGCTTAGAGGGGTGGTTGTGCAAGGGCTTGTATGGGAGTCATGTGAGGCTATTCTCTGGTCCCCTTGTTCCTCCTCTAAGGGAACCTAAACCGCATGACTAGCAATATGAAAGTCCCGGGGTCTAAACCTTATGACCTGCAAATTGAAAGGTCAGGGGGTCTAAACCATATGACTAGCGATATGAAAGGTCAAGGGGTATAAACAACATGCTAGGGGAGAAAGGTCACCCTGGGGGTAAGGTCCTACCCTATAATACCTATTTTCCCAGTTTTGCCCATTGTTGGCACCCAGGGCTTTCTGTCCTGGAGACATTTTGTGCCTGTCCTATCATATCATTCCTCCTCTGCTCGTGCCTGTCTTAACACCTCAGGAATTTTTTTTTTTTCCTGCCCTCTTTCACCTCCCCCTAAATGTAAGCATTTCCTAAAGTTCTGCTCAGTTTCTTTTCTTTGCTCCAGTGCCATCCATAGGGGCATCCATACCCCAAATCCACATTTCCAGCCCCATCACTGTCTTCACTACCTCGTATTTACTTTGGTAAAACATAG